TGTATTGATCTTTTAACACATATGCTTGCTAGCAGAGGAATTAAGGTTACTTCCAGTCAGATGGAACATTTTATACAAGAAATACGTCCATGCTTTTCTGAGGAAGGAAAGGTGCCCGAAAGGTAAATGTAGAGGCATGGGAGAAGGTAGGCCCAAGGAGCCTTATCCTTAACCCCACTGCAGCCTTTCCTCCCCGGGAAAGTGCAGGATTGGCAAGCTGTCCCTGGGGTGATAGATCAGGACTCAGGTAATAGCGGAAAGCGCCAATCCTACTCTTAAAATGGATACAAGAGAGCATTTGGGGTTTTTCTTTTTAATGCCTGCTTTTAAAAAATGAAAAAGGGGGAATTTGCCGGGAGCCGGTCCATCCTTGCTGTTTCAAAGGACCTGGCATATATGGCATACTGTTCTTAATATGTTTGCTCACCTTCTTGGCACTATGTGTTTTAACCAAGGTCTCTGAGAAAGGTTGTTTCCCAGGTAGGGATTTTCCCCTGAAGTTAGGGAGGGAATAAAACCTCTTAAGTAAGTGCCAGGCGGGTAATTAATCACTTTAACTATGAACAATCATGCTTAAGCTACATAATCTTTACTCCCTGGAATGGAGATAAGAAACGCCCTAACCTTTGGAATAGAGATTGATAGGATTGGAATCAACTGGTATAAATACAGAGACAACAAGACAGAACTTAGAAGACAGAACCTACACAGAACCTAGAGACAGAAGAACTTCGCTGGAGAGAACATGGCAAAAGATCCTGGACAGAAACTGGCAACAGAACCTAGAGACAGAACCTAGCGAGAGAACATGGCAAAAGATCCTGGACTGAACCTGACTACAGAAATTGGCAAGAGAACCTGACTAGAACCTGGTGACTGAACCTGGCTGGAGAACCTGGACTGAACCTGGCTGGAGAACCTAGCAAGAGAACATGGACACAGAACCTGGCTGGAGATCTGAAGCAGAACTTCGCTGGAGATCCAGACCAGAACTTGGCTGGAGATCCTGGCTAGAGATCCTGGCTAGGCTGCTGATCAACTGAACGCTGTCTCTGTGTCATTCCTTCTTCGCCGACTCCATCCACACCTTTGGGGACCCCTGGACCCGCTGGGGTTGGTCATTCTCTAGAGACAGAAGAACTTCGCTGGAGTGAACATGGCAAAAGATCCTGGACTGAACCTGACTACAGAAATGGTCAAGAAAACCTGACTAGAACTTGGCAACTGAACCTGGCTGGAGAACATGGACACAGAACCTGGCTGGAGATCCTAAGCAGAACCTCTCTGGAGATCCTGACCAGAACTTGGCTAGAGATCCTGGCTAGGCTGCTGATATGGAAAATGGAGGGTAGTAGAAAAAGAAGAGAAAGCAAAAGAACTACAAGGCATGGAAGTGTTTTAGAAAAAAGAGGGAGAAGAAAGGGAAGAAGGCAGCATCCTGACACAGCCCTTTCCTTCAGCTTCCCCTTTCCCTGTGGTCCCAGGTAGAAATGGGAAACAAGTCCTGTTGCAGTGAGAGGGCAGCTGCTGTCAGCCAGTCTCTGTCTTTACCTGGGTCCCGATCTGAGCTGGGCATGGGAAGCAGGAAGCAGCCATGGGGACAGGAGACCTTCCTCAGAAGGGGCGAGTGTTCAAGCCCCTGCACCATTGGGGAGGGGGGTCTGTGCCCCACCTTTGTTGCACCCCAAGTTTTCTCCTACTGGCCCCAGACTGTGCCTGTCTTAGGTTGCCCCGACTCCGTCCACACCTTTGGGGACCCCTGGACCCGCTGGGGTTGGACCCCGGCAAGAAAGATGTATTTTTAAAAGATAAAGGACATAATTTTTTTTAAATTTTAATATATGCTATTTTTATTTTATATCATGTTACATTAAATACTCCATTAGGAAAGCTAAAATGAAGGTTTATGTAAATATGAGGTAATATGCTATAAAAACATTGATATTTATTACTGAGTTTTCAAAAACATAGGGTAAAAATAGGAATTAATATAATTAAATGATAACAGCAAGAAGCCAGTCCTACCACCTAATTTGAAAACCATGATTGGTGTTCTAACTACAGCACTAACTAATGTCACTTAAATCAGCAAGTTCAGAGACAGTTAGCCAGGCGGTGCTCTTTATAATGGGTTATATTTCAGAATTTATTGATTTCTTTCTAGAATTTATTGTATGTGTTCTTTAGAACAACCTGTGAGGTATATGGAGAATATATTTCATTCTTATTTTAGATATGAAAAAACTGAAGGCAGAACAGCGAATAATGTTGCTTAAGCTCATCAGACTAGAGATTGCTGGTTCAATGGTCTTTCCATTATAAAATATTGAAATATTGTGTTCAAGTACATCCCACCACGTATAACAGGTGTCAAGGCTCAAGTGCCTGAAGAAGCAGGTGGAGTGTGGGTGCTGGGAGGGGAGTGCAGTAAAGGGACTAGCTCATTGTTTAGTGCCTCAAAGGAAGGCGGGCCCAGGATTTCCCAAGAAGAGCTGGATTCACTTTAATAAGTCTCCTCACTTCTAAACTTTGATAACTATTTCAGTCTTCAAATAAATAGACACCAGCAACAACCAGTCTGTCTGTGGTTGGCTGTGACCTTGGGCTGAAAGTCTGCAACTCTTTAATGCCAAATAAGTATTTTTTTTTCTGAAAATTTCCATAGCTCACCAGCTATTCAGAACTTTTGGAAACAGACTGGAGCTCACGATGTGGACCCTAAGGGGCAGCTGTCATAACTGCCGTATCTGCCAGCTACAAATGCTCTCCCGGCTGAATATGTGGCCTTAATATTGCATCCCGACAGGATGCTTACACTTTGTTATGGCTCATGGACCAGAGAACGGACTTTAGTTAATTTGGCTTCAGGAAAAATAATTGCCAGTTAGACCTGGGAGTGATCCCTGGGTCTTCCTGGTGCCATGGCATTGCTCTCCTGTCTGGTGGTAGCCATAGGTGGCAGGTTCTTCAAATTGTCTGCAGTTTGAACTCACTCTTCAGCAAGCCTCTGGCTTGAAATAGTAAGTGACTCCTAGCCTTGCTCAAAATAACACGAGCCCTGTCCTTGCGTGGAAGTGTCTCTTTCCAAACGTCTGAAAGCTGGACTCTCTTAAGAACTTAGAAGGATGTGAATAGCTCCCTATGCGTTTGCGAATCTAAATGTAACAGATATTTAGGATGACAACACTTTTACTTTTAAGCAGATAAGGAGGACGATCTGATTTAGAAGGCCTGTAATATATTCAATCCTGCTTTGCTGTCAACAAAAATAGGCTTACATTAATCTGCTCAAAGCTGGTATGGGGGATTTTATAACTGCACACTTAAAGGTAATAAAAGTTGCCTACATTCATTATTGTTGCTATCAGAAGCCCTGGAGAATACTTGAGATTTGTTATGAGTAAATATCGTTTGAGGAAGAAATTCTGTTGCTATGACATTTACCTCACAAGCCGGAAACTCAGCCTCCGTCTAGTCGATGAAGCGATGTGGGTTTACTCATGTTTGAATTAATGTTGTTTAGTCCACGCAGGCTGTTATGAATTTACCTCAGACTTCAGTATCTCAAAATCATTACCTTTTAAACTGTCTAATTACTGTTTTCCTCCTGGCATGGTCTCCGGCTCTGATCACTAATGCACGCTTTTCAAAGTAGCATTGTGAAAAGTCAATACGCTTCTGGGAAAAAGTCATCATCATAAAAAGTATTGAACTTATGAAACGCTTTTCATGTACGAAGTGATTTACAAACATTCATTAATTACCATCCAAGAGTAGGTCCCTACGCAGGACTGAGTTCTGTTCCAGGAATGAGCGTCAAGTGTGCGAGGACCTGGCCCCGGCGCACTCCCTGGTCTGTGGGGCTGGGGAATGGCTCAGTATATGATGTGGCATCTATTTTCTTTTCCACTGAGCTGTGATCACTTCTCCCCTGATCGCACATTGGACCAGACAAGCTTCTTCTAAGGTATAAATAACAAGGTGGTGGTAGATGTTTTTGAAAATAGGAGAAGGATTTAGTATTTCTGCTGTTTTCTTAAAAATGACTGCTTTCCATATTACTCTTCAGATTACTTTCAAGAACATATCATTTCACCAAAATCTGGAGATTAGTTTAGCTTATTATTTTAGTCAGGTTTATAAAAGAAAAATACTTATTTAACTGAGGACACGAAGGAAAAACAAATTGTCCCACCAGTTGGCCGAATAAATCAGTTCAGAAAGCAAAACATGTGTTTTAAGCATCATATTTTCTGCCCAGGACTGCAGCAAGCACTAGCAAGAGCAGGAATATTAAAAATAATGGGGAAAACCAATTTGCTTTTTTATGAAAATTATTTTGCTATAAAGACATGAAAGCAAGCCTAATAGCTACTATACATAATTTTATGAAAGAACACACATTTAATAGAAAAAGTAGAAGGCAAATAATCTCCAAATTTTAAGATAATAAAAAATTCAGGACTTTGATATTCTTTTCTCATTGTTATCTTAATTTCATTGCTAGCTTGATACAAAAGGTAAATGGGATTTCCTGGAGCTGTGGTTGTATTGATGCGTATAAACACTGATTCTGTCAACTCAGATGCTGCTATTCACACAATCCACGTAAGATCTTGACAAACTGCACTCGGGAAACTTAGAGCCAAACTCATTAATTTGGTGGTAATGAGATATAAAAAACTAAACAACAGTGAAATTCAGACTTTTGACTCTCTCAGAAGATAAATTTTAAATAAGAATAAGTACCTTCTAAGGTTTAATTAACCAGATTGTAGAGTAAGTCATCCTCCTGATTTCAAAAGCATTAAATTGATTCATATAAAGGAACCAACTCTGTTAAAATTGAACTCAGGAAGTAAACTAGTATTTATTGTCAACTCTGTTTCATCAAAGAGTGGACATTTTACCACAAAAAGCAGAAGAAAGTCATAATCCACCACATATTTCGTAAATTATTTATTATTGAAATCTCACCCCCCTGTCCAAATTTTTCTCATTTTTTCATTGAACATTGAAAACTTTATCACAGGTGTGCATATGGGGAATGTATATAAGTGGACATCCCAAAATGGAGTATAGACAGTGGGGGTGAGAGAGAGAGAGAGAGAGAGAGAGAGAGAGAGAGAGAGAAAGGAATGGACTTGGTCAATGAAAGGCTCCCTAGAAACCTCCCTAAATACGGAGGAGTACATACATTACACAGGATATTCTCCCAACCTGGCTTCATTCTTTAGTGACCTAGCATCAGGAATAGGGAACCACTCATTTTCCTTGAAGCTGCTTTGGATTTTGACATAAACATAGGTTGACAGTTTTTATTATCTATTGGGCACTTAAGAAAGTGTAGTAACTAATTTCATTAGGTTAATCCGTAGATGAGAGGATTTCTTTCTGTTTAGCACTTACTGTGTTCCATGGGGCATGATAAAAACTCATGTGCACTATGTCCCTGAGTCCTGAGGGTCTGACACGGGGATGTTAGCGGAGGTGCTAGAGGCCTCCCTACCAGTGGAGTTGCACGTCAGTTGAGAAAGATGCATGCTCTTTACTGTTAAGGCCAAACTATGTTTAGAAAAGTTTAGTATGGATTGATGAACGTATAAATAATGTTAGATATTGAGTAATAGAGTTTTAATGCTCAAGTAATTATGAATGAAAGCCACCTGAAAATGTAGAAGAGTGATAGATAAAAACTGGCTCAGCTTTTGGACTTGTACACACAAATGACTGTATTTAATTCACCTGATCAGTAGAAACAAAAATCTCAGACAATTCAGCCCCCACTCTCTAGTTTGGGGTGGGGGGAGGACACAAACCTTGTCTCTCCCCAAGTTGAGGAAACATTTAGACCGTGAGCCATAGCTGGCTCCTCGGATCCATACCAATGTCTTGGGCAGGCGGCTGGTACCCCCAGTATTTGTGTTGCTTATTCATTTTGCTCCATCAGCTGTCAGGGTGTGCACAGAAGGCTGGTCAGTCTGCACTGTGTGAGTCAAGCTTGGGCAGGACAAGGTCACAGCTCTGACAAGTCACTGTCCATCTGCTGCTGACAATGCTGTGTACTGTGAACAGCTCTGAAGTACTTAGAAATAAAAATGAGAAAATCCAGTTGTGAGGATTGTGAGATTCGAGGGTGGTGAGGAGAGTTTGCGTATTCTCAACGTGATGAAGAGGTCACACCATGTTATCAAGGCAACACTACTGGGACCCTGTCTCACCCCTCGCTCCCAGGACATAACACCTGCTGGGCTGGGAGTCAGAACAGCCTGAGGGCAGGACCTTCCTCCAGGCTCTCCAAGAAGGAAGCGGATGGCCTCACAGATGGCCCAGCCCACTTGTAACCTGTTCTCTTCCATGCTGTTCGACCCCGAAAACTGGACTCCAGACTGAAATAGGTCCATCCAGCAAGGAGTCAACCCAAAACCTCTTTCTCAGCCTTGGCCAGTGTAGGGATTATTTTTAGAGCTGGACAGAACATTGGCAAAGAAACAGCCGGACCAAAATGTCAAAAACCCGCTTAAATCATGCTGTTCCCATATTTATTTCTTGTACAAAATGAAGGCCACATCCATTGCTAACAACTCATAATAATTTCCTAAGATCTGTTCATGCAGCCTTTTCCTTGGCAGAACACAGAATTGTTTGAAAAAATAAACTTTACTATGAAGAATGGATTACTGTGTTCCAGAGTTTGTAGAATATTTTAGGTGGGTGTTTACTTCCCTTTTCTTTTTCTTTGCCATAAGGCCCTTCTTCTGCCATGATTAATACTGAACCTCCTAAAACTGTGTTGGGAAGATCATGTACATGGATTTATTATTGGGTTCAACTATTTCTTGTCTCCACTTGATTCAGAGATCGAAGCATATCACCCTTGGATTGCTCACATTTTAAATCATCCCAGCCATACGCACAGCCTCTTATTTTATTTCTGAGTAGGGTGAAAACTGAATACTGAAGTACATTGCCAAGAGCAAGTAAAAAAATGTACATTTTAGCTCTGATAGCTGCAATCTATTTCCTATTTATCTTCCTCATCAAGGGGACTTATTTATACTCTGCATACAAGTCATTTAAAAGCCACAGCAGTTAGAAGTCCACAGATTAATTTGGCACCTCCTGAACGTGTGTAATCATGTTCAAACTTTAAAATTCAAAAGGGTTTAAATTGCTTTATTACTGTACCATAGATATTTACAAGCTCTTAATAATATACTTTTTTTCTTTTCTTTCCAAACAAGTCTGTATTAAGAATGCATCTGGGGATGGGCTGGAGAGGGTATTTACAGAATGATTTGCCTTCAGAAGCCTCACAAGATTTATGGATTCATTCATCGTTCAAGTGGCTGAATAGTAAAACAGTAAAAAATCATGACAACAGACAGGAAGTGGATGCTGGGTTCCCAAACTGGGACTCCTCTGGAACTCAAACCTGAAGAAAACAAAAAGAAAACACAATCTCCTGAGAATAAGTAAAAATCCTCGTTAGCTTCATTCTTCCTGACCCAAATTCATACTATCATCTCTCTCCTAATAGTGTATTTTACAACAAACACTTGTTTCATTTACATTATGTTTCACTGTAGGAAGAGCCCTATGCTCTGTCCCAGGATGTCTGTTTTCAATGCAAAAATGAACCGATGAAAATGCCCTAATTGGTCGAGTCTGACCCCAGCGAAAATGAGGATTGGCCAACGTGTGGTGGCAGACACAGCTTCAGGCAGACAGGTGAGCGATTCCTCCACAGCAGAAAGAATACATCATTGTTCCACACTCTGTCTGCCTAGTGTTACCTGCTGAGAACACTGTACTGAGAGGGTCTGTGGCTCAGCCCAGCATAAATGTGGTGATTGATTGGTGATGTCTGCCACAGGTATAGGAAAAGCTGAATGTGCACATATTTCATATTTTCTCTCCCTGCTCAGGAGCCTGCACACATCCACAGAAAAGCGTTGTGATTTCTGTCCAATAGGAAGAATCATGCACAATAAACCACAGTTGTTTTTTGTGATTCGAATGAGAGCACATAATACTGTGTGTGTTATACAAACATGTTGCAAATCTGAGGGATTATTTAAAGAAAAATTGACTCATTGCCTCTTGCTCACAACTTAAAATGGAAATACAGACCTTTTAGTTTTTACCCAACATTTAAACAAAGAACTGGAATGATTTGTAGAGCCCAGATTTCATGCTGCAGCTGGATTCAAAGTCTACAACAGTGATCAATGGTGACGCTACTCACTGGACATTTTTGGAATCCTGATCTCCTCGCTGCTGCTTCCGTCCCCACCGTCGCTGACTGTCCTTATCTCAATCAGGTAGTCCTCTTCGAATGGGACCAGTAGCTCAGCTGATGTGTTGTTTGTCTCCAAAATGTGGGTTTTACTCTGTCGGTTTTGTCGGTACAGAATCTGAATAAAATGGTGACTCAAGTTAAAGGGACATGTTCTTTTCTAAGGTTCAGACACTCTTAAGGAACACAAAGACACATCATTATAAATGCTGGCCCTGGCCGGGTAGCTCAGTTGGTTGGAACATTGTCCTGATACAACTAGGTTGTGGGTTTGATCCCTGGTCAGGGCACATATAAGAACTAAGCAATGAATGCATAAATAAGTGGAACAAAAAATTAATGTTCATCTCTCTCTTTGTTTCTCTTTCTCTCTCAAAATCAATCAACAATTAAAAAATTTTAAATTCTGTACTACTTGGATGGAAGTACCCAATCTATGCCCTTTTTTGGAAAATGTAGTGTTAAGAAAAAGATTTGCTGTTTTGTCCAATGCGTCTGAATGAGAGTAGATTTATCTCTATTAATTAAATAGCTCCAGGCTGTCATCTTTGAAGCCTGCTGTGAGAAGCCACTGCTTAGCTGGGCCCCATTTCAGATTTCTGAGTAGATGCATTTGCCAGAGGACATCCTTTAGCTCGGATGGAAGGGATGTGCTCGGGGTATCTGACTGGACTCTTGTTTGATTCCTCTAATGATGGTAAATGATCATATCCTACTGCAGCCTCAGTTCTAGAAATTCTATTGGAATAATATTCTTTGACCTCACTCTCATCTCACTCACATTTACTACCCACATAAAACCTCATTGTTTAATGGCAAAGAAAGTAACTTGAAGAAAATTCTTGCAAACTATAGAGTTTTGTTTCTTCATGCTCCATGACACATTATGGGCCTCAGGATATACAGCTTTTTCTTTTTCAGATAGATAGATAGATAGATAGATAGATAGATAGATAGATAGATATTATTTCAGAGAGAGGAAGGGAGAGGGATCAAGAGACAGAAACATCAATGATGAGAGAGTATCATCAATTGGCTGCCTCCTGAACGCCCCCTACTGGGGATAGAGTACACAACCTGGGCATGTGCCCTGACCAAGAATTGAATCGCAACCTCCTGGTTCATGGGTCATTGCTCAACCACTGAGCAACACCAGCTGGGCAGGACATAAAACTTTTCAGTGAATAGGTTCACAACAGCAATTCTAAGTATCTTCAACACCTGTTTTAGAAAGATTCCTCAATTTCCATATGCATGAAATTTGTTTCCTATTTAGCTGTGACATTCCTGGTTCTTTAGTAACTTAATTGCCATGCTTAAAGAGAAAACCAAATAGTCACCTTGTAGCCCAGGACTTCAGACTCATTTTCCATGGTTTTCACGTGCTCCCAGTTCAGGCATAATTTGGAGTTAGTCAGCTTCCACGCAATGTTAGCTGGGGGTTGGCTAGGAGCTTTAAAAAGATAACCAAAGATCTAGATGAATATTCATTAGCTTGTGGTTACTTCCGTCAACATGAAAGGGACAGGAACTGCTGGATGATTAGCATGGCAGGAGCTAAAATGTTCTCAAGTTCATTTGAAATAATATATTCTAATTAGAGTAAGCAAATCCATTCAAATTCTGGTCAATTGGGAATGTCTGTGACAAACTTAATAATTGCTTGCCCCATGTCCAAGTATCAATTTATTAATCATTGCTGTTGATTTTGTTTACTCTGCCACATACAACTGGATGGGGGGGCGGGGGGCGCTCCTTTACCTAGTGTTCCATTTGGCTGTCAATGTGCATGTCAAACAAATTCAGGTTATAAAACTTTTAAACATATCAACACAGAGGGTTCCTTCTTAGTCATCTTTAGCTCTTTAATCTTGTACCAGGACTCTTTGTAACACAATCAAGCCAAGATCTTTTAAGCAAGTCTTAGCAATAAGTTGGGAAGGAAGCAGGGTCTCTCTTAGAACTCAGGGCAGGCAAAGAGCTGGAACCCAGAGAAAGGAAAGTCATTACAGACTGATGATCATCCCCAAAGGTGTCCATCAGAGTCCAGCCCGTGGTGTTCGCTTCCCTGGGATCACTGTTTTCTATGAGAAAGCATGGGAAGTACGGGTTTGGAATCGGCCTTCTGAAGTAATGGATCTGGTCTACCGGAAAATGTTACATGCGAGAGAGCTGGCATCCGGGTGGGGAGGCCACGTATCTAAGAGCCTGCGGCGAATGACAGCTTGAGTCCCACCAGTGCCCTGCCTCCTGATGGCAGGCTAGTGTTCTCCATGACAACACTCTGCTTCTCAGAGCTTGGAGGCCACATGATTATTCTTAAGATTTAAAAAGCTGGTGAGACTAAAAATAACTCAGCTGGGAGGCAGAGGCAGAGATAAAACCACCCAGCAGGATGGTTTTGGCATCTGACTTCAATTTGTGAGGCTGAAAAAGTGTAATAGTTAACTCATTATGACACGGGTAGAAATGGAAATGATCTCTTTTGGAGTTTTGACTCAACCACTATTTAACCTGTAGGAGTGGCGGGGTGTCCGACATTGTGTTATATGTCCCTTTGCCTCTCCAAGCCCACTGGGGTCCCCCTGTGTTCACCAGCCACTTGCACGTACATCAGTGGAGACCTAGCAGAGAGATGAAGGTTTGCCCTGTGCTCCAACGTGGCTGAGTTCATATATTATTAGGGTTTATCACACTGACTTGTAGTTATTCTTGCTGATGTGCTTTGTTAATCTTATTGAGAGCATGTGTCTTGTTCAAGTGCATTATCAACTCCAGCACATTTCCTGTATGTTGCATAAAGGACTGGCCATCAGGTGGCTGAAGGAAACTACTCAGGGTCCTGCGTGATTCTCTCAGGTCATGTTAATCATGCTCTGGGCTGTGGGCAGATCCACAGGGACACAGCATGGCCAGTCCACTCGTCATGCCGTCCTGTAATCAAGGCTAATTGCCACGGCCACACCTACAGCCGCCCACGTGGATTCACAAGATGGACTGGCCCGGGGCATTCCTGGACAGCATACACCCAGCCACCACCAGGGCTGAAGGTTCTGCACGTAGTCAGCCCTCGGTGCCTGCTGCTCAGCATGGTTATTTCCGGAGGACACAGTCTCCGGGACAATCATCTTGTGGCTATCCTCCCTCAATGTGCCCCAGCGTGCTTCCTCTGATCCTTCTCTGGGCTATAGAACAGGTGGCATAAGATTCTCTCCAGCTATCACAGTTTGGATGTCTAGTTTACTCCTGTGACACATTTCTTTTATCTCTGTTCTTCAAAACAGCACTATCATTAACATCGTACGATCAATAGAGAGAAAAGATAAATTCCCTCCTTCGACGTCACAGTGATGGATTCTGAGGGTTTCATCTGCTGTGCCTGGGGTTTGATGTGGTGGTTTGTTAAGATAAAACTCTTCAGTGCTGTGAATCTGTTGGGGAAGCCCAGGCAGGGACAGAACTGACTCCCACCAGCTCCAGCAGGACGGTGGCATGACCCTCAGAGTCTGTCCTGCTGTCTGTGGCCAGCAGAGCAGATCAGGGCATCCGTGCACGTAGAGTGAGGACAGTTCTATGGGGAGTGAGCTCTCAGGGTGAGAGGCCAGTGGCCTTGATGATCCGGGCTGCCGTCTGGGAGGGAGAGAAAGCTGGGCTTTGCAGCCAGACAGACTTGAGTCTGTCTTCAGTTTCTTCTGAGAGGCCTGGTTTTTGCATCTTTGGAATGAGACTCCAATCTCCTAGTTGATAAATGTTTTCGCTTACATGAAATAAAAGCCGGACCATTCCTCATGTGGTTAGTGGTACATCTTAAACAGCCCAGTATCTGTGCATTCTCTGTGCTGAGAGAGGCAGTTATCTGTGGTGTTATGACATAATCAGTTTTTCAATTGAGTTCAAAGTGGTTTGTTCCTAATAATACAACTTCAAAGTTTGCAAATGATTTACTTCTTAAATATAATTAGAATACATTCAAGACTTCCCCCTAATAATAGTACTCCTGCTCGAGTTCTTCCTGTGCTACTGAAAGGCGGATAAAGAGGTCCATCTCAGCCCAGTCAGTGTGGCTCAGTGGTTGAGAGTCAACCTATGAACCAGGAGGTCACAGTTCGATTTCTGTTCAGAGCACATGCCCAGGATGTGGACTCAATCCTCAGTAGGGAGTGTGCAGGAGGCTGCTGATCAATGATTATCTCTCATCATTGAGGTTTCTACTCTTCTCCTATGAGTTTTACATAACTGATCAAACTGAATTGCAAATATCTATGATGAAGCTGAAATGTCTATTATCTTGACAAACCAACTATGGTCATGTGGATAACATGAAAGCCGTGTTGTGGATGTTCACATGTGTTGGTCAACAGTAATCTCAACAAACAACCACTTCTCTAATTTTAAAAAAAATACATATATTTGCAGGCAATTTCCACAGAGTAAGTCATTTCCTGTTAATCAAATGACAGAGCAAGTGGCACTGGCCCTCCACAGCCCATCAATTTTCCTGTAGATGGCATTTACATTCAACTGGGGTTCACACTGCGAACTCGATTCAAAAAACAACCTCTTATGTTACAGTTCTAAGTAACAGCATGGGGTTGACTTCTGGGGAAGAGAGAGAGAACATGAGTGCAAGATGAAATAAAAGCTTAATGCTCCCTTTATGGCTAAATGTGGGTTGAGTGCATATTTTCAACCAGAAAAATCCAGTTCAGAGTGTGGTCAGTCCAGGTCAGGGGCCAGATGGAATGGTCATTTGCAAACGTTTTCTGCTACTGGATCTGCACTCTTCTTTCGGGGTGGGAGCGGTGCTTTTTGCTTTTTCTTTTCCCCTGGGAGTTGATAGAAGTATTTTTTCTCTCTTTAGCTGTAAATCTAAATTCCATTGAAGTGATGTCTGTGTGGATCATGATGTATTTTCAGTGCCCTTCAGTGGTTTTTGGAAAGACCTCATTTTCACTGGGTTATCACACTGGCTATTACATCACTGATATTTGCTTAAAGAGCCAGCTGTCCTCATTGCCAGCAGCAATGAAAACAGAAGCTAGTGTGTTCCCTCTGTGTTGGGCCCGTTATTCACCAGCTCCCTGCCGCATGAAAATACATGGCCTTCCCCATGCAGCATTCCACCCTACGTACATCTCAGCCTCTTACTTTTCATGGTGCTTCTCATAATTCATGGCTATTTCATGGCCTTCTTTTTTTCTTAAGTTGACTCCTCAGTAAAAGAGAAATTGCTGGAAGCAGGGAACTCACCTGTCTTCATCTCCATTAGGCACCTAGCCCTGTGCATGGCTTGTGAGAGGTACTATTTTCTTGAATGATTGATAGAATCATACTAGTCCCCTTACCCCCCCACCCCCAAGTCTGTGTCTTCTCTTTAGCTAGCCCAATCAGAAGGGGCAGAGGTTTTGGTAAATGTGGGTAGACATACGTACAATGGATAATCCCATATCTGATTGAGAACCTAGACAGTGACTGTATACTGTATGGATGTGTGAAGAATTCAGGATTTGGGCTGTCACCACTATTCAGAGGTAACTCTGATGGAAAAGTTGGATGCAGGGCCAGCACTTGGAATCAGAGCTGTCTTCAGTGTCTCATTAAAGCCATTGCTCGTTTTTACCTTGGATGTCCTTCTGTGACCCTTGAAGGAAATGTCTGAAACACATTTATACAGAGAAGGAGCCCTAACTGGTTTGGCTCAGTGGATAGAGCGTCGGCCTGCAGACTGACTCTATAGACATGTGCACTTATGTTCGTATGTCAAAATTTATAGTCGGGCCCTAACCAGTTTGGCTCAGCGGATAGAGCATTGGCCTGCGGACTGAAGGGTCCCAAGTTCGATTCCGGTCAAGGACATGTACATTGGTTGCAGGCACATCTCCAGTGGGGGGTGTGCAGGAGGCAGCTGATTAATGTTTCTCTCTCATTGATGTTTCTAACTCTCTATCCCTCTCCCTTCCTCTCTGTAAAAAAAAATCAATAAAATATATTTTTTTAAAAAAAAGAGAGAAGGAAAGGTAAAAGTAGCTATGCCTTCCTACTTTAGGAAATGTCAGGAAAGCAAAATCACCTCCAAAAAAGAAACAGCACCATGTTCCCATGCCCTGCGCCTCCCAGCCTGGCACCCTCCAGGGTACGGTGGGCACATAATGTCCTTCAGTGCTCAGAGAAAACTCTAGGAAAGCACAGTCACCTCTGTTTCTCAGATGAAAAGATGGGTTCTGAGCTATCAATGTATCAGACTTTTCAACAAATAATTAGTTCATGGCTGAGCCAAGATCTCCCAACTTTCTTTCCCTCTGAAGCCCCTTTCCAGCACAATCTCACAATAAGCCAACGCTGTGGGCACTAAGGAAAATGCACCTGTATTGAAGGGGAAACTGTGGGAGACCGCTGGTGAGAGGAGAAGACATGTGATGTTCAGAGGCATGGCAGGGGCACTAGGATGAGAGAGTCCTTGAATTCAGACATCAGAATGTGAAACTCGAGATCAGCACACCTGCTGCTTCAGGGCTGAGGGGCAAGAGGCTGGACAGGAAGTCTAGAGGGACCGTGGATGATCTTGTATGTATTTCTCTTCACCTTTGTCCTCCACAGTAGAGGAGACAATGAAACTTTGGGATGAGAAGGGGGTATGGTTCCATTTTAGGAAGGAAGATGTGAGGGCAGTTTGAGGTTTGGACTGAAGATGGGGGAGAGTGGAGGGAAAGAGACTATTCGGATAGTTAGAGGTGAAGATTGCAAACCAGCACTTTGTCTGTGGGATAGAGACTTTCAGAGAACCTGTGTTCATAGCAGGTCAGATGCCGCCACACCACCTTCCCAAGCACATGTTTTCTCAGATGTAGGAGCTGAAATACCAAACACCTTGTTTGATTTTAATAATTTAATGAGATGATGTAGAAAATTGACACAGGGTCTGGGACACAGAGGTGCTCAATATTTTGTAACTTTCATGGGAAGAATGAGGGTCCCCAAACATGTCCATATCCTGAGTCCTAGAGCCCATGGCTACATTATTCTGCTTCCCAGAGCTCATGGCCACGTGACTCTGACTCCCAGAGCCCATGACTATGTTACTCTAAGTTCAGGAAATTTGTAACTCTTTTTCATCAGAACTCAGAGACTAAAGAATGTGTCATAAAAATCCTGTTAACTAATAATTTATGTTCATCAATGATAAGGAGTATAAGACATTATGCAGTCATGAAAAGAGAATTGCAAATCACATATTGCAATTCTCCCGAAGTCATATCTGATCAGACCTTTCCCTAGCTGTTGCTGTGCCTCACGTTATGAAATATTTGTGCAAATCCAGACTCATATGTAGGTCCTGCCTCTGTGGCAGATAGTGGCTGATGGTTAAGGGAAACATAAAGAAGCAGAGGAGTTAACTTTTGGATCTCAGGGGCTTCCAGGTCAACTAGGGATAAGATGTCCTAGAAGGAAAGACCTAGATGGTCTGACAGTGCAGGGTCCACTGGAGCACTCTAGGACTCAACTGAAGAACAGATGACAGGAGGCACTAATGAAAGTATGTCCTGGACACGTCCTATTTCTTCTCCCTCTCACTCCTGCACAAAACCCTAAGAGGGAACAGTTCCACTCTGTCCACATTGTGCACGGTAGGGTGTTGAAACTGAAAGATTATATAAACACTTAACATTCCCGGGATGGGAGGTCCGGTATTAGGCTCAGGCTGGGAGGGGCGTCGCAGTCCATGTCCTTCAGCACTGCACCAGCTGCATTTCATCTACATCAGGGATGGGGAACTTCTAGCCCGCGGGCCATATAAGGCCCGTGAAATCATGTGGTCTGGCCCTGCCAAGGCATTAGGGGTAAGTTAATGAAATGTTTGACCAAATGTAGCAGACTAAGTTTTAAGTTGACAATTTTGTATAGCCCACAAATAATGTTATAAATATGCAAATGGCCCTTGGTAGAAAAAAGGTTCCCCACCCCTGATCTATATACTTAGCGTAGTTCCTCTTTGGAATTCCAAAAATATCAAAATGGTTTATTTTGATTGTTACCAGAAAGTTTCAACAATTATCCAGATTTAACAGACAAGCCAATCACCAATCAACCAAACAAAGCAATCAGTGAAGGATGAGGGGGAGGAGAAGAGGGAAGGCTAAATGAAGGCACGCAGTTTTGTTCATGGCTGTTGCTGCTGCCTGGAGGGTGAGGGATACTTACGGGACTTCTTGGTCGTGACGTTGACTGGGGGGCTTGAGGGCCCCGTCCCACCCGTGTTGTAAGCTCTGACGGAGGCAAAGTAGATGGTGTTGGCCTTCAGCCCCATGATGGTCTTGGTTGTGACGTTTCCATGGACTCTGACCTTACCAATCATGGGTTCCCTGGAGTCGTCCGTCCAGTATAAGACCTGGTCATGGAAACAGAGGGAGGGGTCATGGTTTCCCTGCAACCAGCAGGCAGCAGACCAGAGCATAAATGGCAGGATAACTCTCATTAAATGGGTTATACAATAACAGCAAAATACAGTCTACTCTTTATAGGGAACAAATAAAAAATACAAATTCAAATGGAAAATAGAGAACTTGTGGGGTTTTTCTTTTTTTAGATTGCCAAAATAAAATATTTCATGAGATATTTAAAGATGATCAACTTGGACTGGCCATTAGGTTCAGTGGTTGAGCATCAACCAATGAACAAGAAGGTCACAGTTCAATTCCCAGTCAGGGCACATGCCCAGGTTGCAGGCTTGATCCCCAGTAGGGCGCAGGCAGGAAGCAGCCAATCAATGATTCTCTCTCATCATTGATGTTTCTATCTTTCTCTCTCTCTCCCTCCGTCTCTAAAATCAATAAAAATATGTATTTTTAAAAAACTTCTATGCTCTTTTAAAAAAATAAATAAGGGTTATCAGCTTGAATAAAGGATATATAAGTCAGACCCAAACAGGATTCATACCATGGATCAGAGACTTCTGGTATGATACTTTGCTGTTCACATTTCCTCTGGAGTTCTTTGAATAACAGGTTAATTAATAATTCAGCTTATACTGAGCCTTTCCTATGCGTTAGCACAGCTTCAGGCACATTGAAAAAGACAACAGAGAATCAGGTGTGGGACCTGCCTTCAGGCCCCTTACCATCTAGTTAAGAGGTTAGAATATAGAGGCTGTCCCCCAAAACACATGTGCACACTTGAACAGCTGGTAGCTCAATTGATGTTTCTTCCTTTTCAGCCAGACTAAGCTTTGAACAAAGGAAATTCATCCTCAAAAGGCACTGGAAGTGTGAAAATGCAGATGAAGTACACACACTGCCTCTACGATTATTCAAAGTGGGTAGACATTTTGGGGGAACACCCTGCGTGTGTGAAAAGAGAGCCGAGGACTGTTTTCAGGAAGTGGTACAGGAATCAGTGCTCTGAGGATGAGAAGAAAGACCATGTGAGGCACGATGAGAGGATCCCAGAGAAGGGAGACTAGACTGAGCCCAGGAAGGGGAACGGGGCTGGGCTCTGAGGTGGAGGTGAGGCACTCCAGGCCTGGAGGGGCAAGACACCTGCCCCGGGAGTACGCCCTTATGTTTGGACCAGAGGCTTCGTGTGAAAAGAAAAAGCAAAGACGAATGCGAGGCATGGTGAAAGAGGTTTAGAATTACACTTTTATTCTAACTCCAAAATAACCTGTGTCACCCAGGAATAAGTCTTATTTCTCTGTAGAAATGAAGGTTTACACAAAAGAAGTGATTGCCTCACTCTACATAAATGATGTCTATAAATGAGGAGAATCGAGGATTTTTCTTCTCACTTCACTATCTTCACCAAGATGACCTTTCTTTCTTCATATTTTTATTGATTTCAGAGAGGAAGGGAGAGGGAGAAAGAGAGATAGATCCATGATGGGAATCATGGATCGGCTGCCTCCTGCATGCCCCACACTGGGGATGGAGCCCGTAATCCAGGCATGTGCCCCAATCAGGAATCGAACCGTGACCTCCTGGTTTATAGGTAAGACACTCAGCCACTGAGCCATGCCTGCCGGGCAAGGTGACCTTCTTTTCAAACCGTGTTCTGGCTCTTGGCTCAGAGCACGTGTCCCCTTGAAATTCTTCTAAGGTTTAAGATGGGGAGGGGGTTTGGTTCCCTCTCTCTGGAAACCCACAGGATTGCAGTGGGAATAATCAAATGAGGTCACCTCCGATCACCTTTTAAGTGCCACCCTTGGCTGATGTGCCTGATGGAGAGATCATGGCCCCGGATACCACCACCCCCTAACGCTTTGGACACCCACTGCTGTTATGGAGCAGCAAACTGGCCCTGGGAGCCTGGAGTGTGCAGAGGAGAGGGGACCTCAGTGGCTCACCTCGTAGCCCAGCACGCGGCCCGTGATTCTGTTCCAGGCAATGGCCGTCCATGAAACCTCCATCTCAGAAGCAGAGAAACTCTGGGCAGAGGTTCCCCGAGGGGCCAGCTGAGGCTCTGCCGTCGGAGGAAGACACAGCATCGTTAGTCGAGGGGTTCATTGGAACAAGGATGCAAAATACACCCAGGGCCTGGCCTGCGTGGCTCACTGGTTGAGCATCGACCTGTGAACCAGGAGGTCATGGTTCAATTCCCGGTTCAACATCATGGATGTTTCTCTCTCCCTCCCTCCCTCTCTAAAAATCAAAAACATATTAAAAATAAATATCCCTGGAGCGTCAGAGGACCACCCAGTGCTGGGCACCACTTACCGTCCTCCCCGGAGTAGACGATGGACACGGTGCTCAGCGAGGCCCCTTCCCCCTCGCTGTTGTACACGCCCACTTTGACCTCGAAGGGAGAGAGCGGGGTGATGCTTTCGTTTCTGTACACGAATCTCGATGCCTCCACGGACGGGACTCTCTCCTTGGTCCAGATGGCCGAGCCCACGGGCCGCAGCATGACCAGGTAGCCAAACTCCCCGCCACTCTGCAGTTCCTCCGGGATGGGCTTGGGCAGAAGTGACCACCACTGAGTGTTTGCAGTTAGTTTATGGAGCTCTTATCGTGTTTACCAAACACAGATATTCACCCTGGTTCATGGAGCAGTGAAAAATCAGACTACTTCAATTTGGAATGCCAGTTGGGAAAATGGTTCCAATGAAAGATGCTCATGCTCATGGGACAAGGCTCAGCCAATGGAGCCACACTGCTGGCTACGTGCCTGTATTTATTTTTATTGACTTCAGGGAGGAAGGGAGAGGGAGAGAGAGAAACATCAATGATGAGAGAGAATCATGGATCGGCTGCCTCCTGCACGCCCCACACTGGGGATTGAGCCTGCAACCCAGGCTGTGCCCTGACCAGGAATCGAACCGTGACCTCCTGGTTCATAGGTCAACGCTCAACCACTGACCCACTCCAGCTAGGCTTATAGTCATGTTTTATATGAGATATTCCCCACTGGCAGCTCAAACCTGGATGTATTAGGAAGTATAAATTAGGGTAAGACATGAATAAAGATATTGTTAAAAAAGGAATTAGTAGTTACCACATCCCCCAAATTAGATAGCATGTCTAGGTTATTGGAAGCAAAGCAAAAAACACAAAGCCCACATTATTTGTCTCTGGAGGAGACAGGAGGGTGTTTATTTCAGAGGATTGTACCTCGATGTTCGTTCACGAGCAGCAATCTGGGGTACCAGCCAAGCTGTCATCAGGAACACAATGGAGGATTCTCGCTGAATTCAGAGTGAATTTGAAAAACCAGAGGGTATGACTTCCCCCACAGCAGCAGTGAGTTAGACCTGACAAGGTCTCTCTCTCCCCAAGTTCTTTTTCAACCCACAGCTCAGACCTAACATGAAGTTCCACCCTTGCCCGAGCACCCAGACCTTTTGGCAGTTCACAACATCAGGATGTTTGTACCCCCGCTGTTTAAACTAAGTTGGTGTTCATGGAACTGAAAGAGTCACTCCATGCCTGCCTTCTGACGCTCAGACTAACACACGTGTCTCCTCCTAAATGCACACATTCCTTAGAGGCCTGGCACCAGCAGGGTTGGGCTCGGTGATGCTAGGATGAATATAAGTGGGGAACTGTGTTCGTGAATCCATGAATGGAGCTCCTGCAAGATTCTGCATAGCCGATATCCCAAGAAAAACACACACAGGAAATGACTTTAATTTTCACCACAAACTTTTTCTGTAAAGGGCCAAGTAGTAAATATTTTAAGCATCAGGGGCCATATGGTCTCTCCTAGCAGAGTGAAAGCAGTCATATGTAACACTACAAGAATGGGTACGGTGGTGGGAATTCATTTATGAAAACAGGGAGCAAGCAGATCCGGCCTGTATGCCTTGGTTTGTGGAATCTTGCATTTAAAGAGAAAGGACCCTGCCGGGCTGGCATGGTTCAGTGGTTGAGCATCGACCTATGAACCAGGAAGTCACGGTTCAACGGTTCAATTCCTGGTCAGGGCAACATGCCAGGGTTGCAGACTCGATCCCCATTGTGGAGCGTGTAGGAGGCAGCAGATCAATGGGTCTCTTTCATCACCGATGCTTCTATCTCCCTCGATATCAATAAATATCTATTTTTTACAAAGCCAGAGTGCATTTTAATCAGTGCAAAAGGGGCCTATACATTCATACTTAAGAAGAATGACATACAAGCTACTCCGCCTGCTCAGCTTCCATCTATGTGTGGGAGGGACAGGCTGGAGGGTTGAAAGCAAGGAGAGGAAACCGCTGCTGTCCGAGTCTAACTCAGACGGTGAATAGCCACGTCCAGCATCAGATGCTGACGAGCACACTGCCGGCCCTTCCACGTGCACCGAGGGCGCTTTCCTTGCATTTGGAAGAAAACTGTGCTCGCTAAGTCACACCCTCTCCCTGTAGTAGGAATGAGGTGTCTCCAGCCCCTCGCTACATCAGGAGTCTTTCCTGCCCAGGGTTTTTATGGGCCCAGCTTGTTTTTCCCTGTTGTTCCTGGCCAGGTACATCGTTTTCCTTCCAAATAACTCAGCTGGACAGAAAATTACCTCCCAGGTAACGACCAGTTCAGACCGGCTTCCTCCTCCTCCCTGGATGTTGGTTGGAGCCACAATGGGGACTGAAAGCAAGGAGAGAAACATGGCCATGGTTAGGGATGTGCGTCTACCTCCGGAGGGTTGGCGCAAGGGTCTCACCTCTCAGGCGCTCCCGTGGCAGCTGGGAGGGAGCCCAGCATCCTTAATGAACACAAATGATGTTTACTCAGACCCAAGCTTCGGAGGGGACAGTCTGGTGTCGGAGACATGAGCACCCCAGCTCCAGGATTAATTAACAGGCGAGTAACATCATGTATCTGACATTATTATGCATCATCCGCTAATTGGCAAGACGATGTTCCATTCGGATGGAGAGAGTGACACGGTGATTTACTGCCTGATTATGCAGCTGTGCCGGGAACACGTTTCCCAGCCAGATATTAATTAGCCCCCTTTCTTCTTCATAAACACACGAAAGTCGTTTTTCTGTTTGGTTGACATCAGGATGTTTGAACACTTAAAAATAAATTCTTAAATGCTAGATAATTAAATGAATTCCTATTTTATGACCCTGTGTTTGAATCACAAGTCGCTGGGTACAGAACAGACAGAGGCTGCCTCGAACTTCTCGCCCCCAAAATGCCACTGATAACAGTGGTGAGTGTGTGAGTATTCTGGTATGTAATCAAAATGGAGTTTGACTTTTACATGCAGAAATGTTTTAAAAGTCGTTTTTCCTGAAATGATGACAGAAGCACCCCAAATCTGTGAAGATGCATAACTTGGCTGGACAAGCTTCTCATGAGACAGGCAGAAACCCATCTGCATCTACGATTCTGCAGATTCTCTGTTGGTTCTGAAAGTCTCGGAGATGAGAGGGCAGCTTCAGAAAGACTCTCTTCTGACCTGTTTGCCACAACATCACCATCTCCTACTGGGCGCACGCGCCCTTGGGAGAAAATGCATGTGCTTTGTGCCCATGACCATGGGGGCGTGAGGCTGGTTCTCTGCCTCTGGTTGGGGCAGGGATGCTGCTCGGTGTGCTGTGTTTTCTGTAAGAACTGTGCCCTCCAGGGTCTCCCGGGGTTTGAGAAGCCATTGATTTCTTACCGGATGCTTTGGTTCTCAGCAATTCGGATGCTTTGCTTGGCTCTCCAATCCCTATGCTGTTCCCAGCAAGGACACGAAACTCGTATTCCACCCAGGGAATCAGGCCCACCACGGTTGCATTGTATGTCTGACCGTTGAGAATCTCTGGAACTAAAACAAAGGGGACACTGGGTAAAAACAGTCCATCAATCCATCAAACAACACACCATTGGTTTTGCCGAATTATCCAAAACACGCAAGGCACTTACCCGTGGAGACAGCCTGCCACCCCACAGAAAACGGCGTCCGTGCCTGGACGGTGAATATCTGGATGGGGCTGTTATTGTCCGAGCCAGGCTGCCAGCTGAGCTGGGACGTGGTGCTGGAAATGTGTTCTACCCTCACCTCCTCGGGGGGACCTGGGGGGCCTTCAAGCACAGATTTTATGGTCACCTTATTGGAAATGATGAAATGAGTCTGTTTGGGATAAGGAATCGTTTCTTTTTTTCTGTTATACTTACAAAATAAAAGATGGAACCTAATATATTTTAGCACATTAGATAAAGCCCTATTAATTCAGCTTACACAGTGAGAGATTAGCTTGAAATGCTTCCTTTGAAGATTAGGAAATGCCAGCCATGGGGTGGGGGAATATCATCCGATAAGAAGCTGATCTCAAACGGTGAGAGCCTCTTGGGGCCGCTCCTCTCAGAAGCTCCCTCAAGTGAATGCAGCTCTTGGGGAGAAGTTGGGAACTCAGGCTTGGGCCCCGCTCTACGAGACAGTGTAGTATAGATAGAGTCCAAGGGGCTGACGGTGCGGGCAAGTCTGACCGTTCCTTAGGAACAGGCAAAACCTACTCAATGCAACATCCATTGTCATACCACCCAGACCCTGGGGTCTTGGGATTTAGAAAATTAAAAAAAAATGTATACTTCCACCCAGTTGGTGTGGCTCAGTGGTTGAGCGTCGACCTAGGAACCTGGAGGTCACGGTTCCATTTCCTGTCAGGCAAATGCCCAAGTTGTGGGCTCAATCCCCAGTAGGGGGTGTGCAGGAGGCACCTGAACAATGATTCCCTCATCATTGATGTTTCTCTCAACTCTCCCTTCCTCTCTGAAGTTAATAAAAATATATTTTTAAAAATCTTTCCTATTTATCTCACTTCTTTATCATGATGTGGTTAATTAAGGACTTGCCATTTACAGATGAACATTCCTCACTGACTAGACAGTGTGCTCATGTATGTCACGCACCTCTGACAATGATTTCAGCCACAGCCGACAAGTTCTCTAGGGCTGTTGTCACTGCGCAGAGATATCTCCCTGAGTGACTTAACTGGATATTCCTTATCATCAGGTCTCCCACAGATCCCTGCAGGCAGAAAGGGAAAAGGGGTAAAAACATAAATAGGCCCAGCAGGTCCTAAGATTTCACAGCTGCATCAACATCCAATATGGGGCCACAGTGAAATTGGGAGATACACTAGTATCACTCATTTCCCATATGATCCCTGTGACTGTGTCTTTTGTCATAATTGTCTCTAGAATGCAAGCAAGTCCATGAAAGATATAAAACAAAATAAAACACACACGCAGCTTCATAAAGAGACAGTGATTACCGCGCAAATAAATACTAGGGGAGTCACAACAAAAGAGGTTAATTCAGGGAAAAGGCTTGAGTCGACTTATTAAGCACTTAGAATTGTCAGCAACTTACTCCTCCAATCCTTTCAAAATGAGCCGCATCCTTTTTTAAGTCTATGATGTGTCCATTGAAAGACCAAACAAATGCGACCTCCAAGGAGGGGTCGTGGGACACCTGGCAGGTCAGGACGATGCTCTCGCCCACGGTGACATCCATTGGGGAAGGTGGCTCCGTGATAATCGTCCGTTCTGTGAAGAAAGAACATCGCTCTCATAACAGCTCATCAGGTACTGGCACGTGGCTATGAGACACATCCTCTGAGTGGCTTTGCAATTGTTTGAAATCTTACACATACAACTCGGAGTTCTGCTCTTTTCAAGATGAAAAATTCCGCCCCCTTTTTAATGTCTCGCATTAACCAGTTTAGCTTACTTAGTAATCCTGTAATAAAATTAAATACACAGTTTTTTGTTTGTTTTTCAAAATATATTTTTAGTGATGTCAGAGAGGAAGGGAGAGGGAGAGAGAAACATCAGTGATGAGAGAGAATCATTGATTGACCACCTCCTGCACACTCCACACTGGGGAATGAAGTCACAACCTGGGCATGTGCCCTGACCAGGAATGGAATGATGACCTCCTGGTTCATAGGTCAGTGCTCAACCAGTGAGCAGCACTGGCCTGGCTAAAGACAGTTTTACTCATAGTTTATATGAAAACTAGTGACCTGGTGCACAAAATTCATGCAGGGGGGTGGGGTGTCCCTCAGCCCAGCCTGCACCCTCTCCAATCTGAGACCCGTCAGGGGATGTCCGACTGCTGGTTCAGGGATTGGGCTTAAACTGCAGTTGGACATCCCTCTTGCAATCCAGGACCACTGGCTCCTAACTGCTCAACTGCCTGCCTTCCTGATCACCCCTAGCCACTCTGCCTGTCGGCCTTCTTACCCCCAACTGTCCCCCCTTGCTAGCCTGATCGCTCCCAACTGCCCCCCACTGCCGGCCTGCTTGCCCCAACTGCCTCCCCCCCAACGGCCTGATCACCCCAAGCTAATTAGCATATTACCCTTTTACTAGTAAAGATAGAGGCCTAGTGCATGGGTGGAGGCTGGCCGGTCTGCCCACTGGGAGTAGTGCCAGCCTGGGCGAGGAGCTGGGGTGGTTCACAGGCTGGCCACGCCCCCCATCAGGGTGAGGGTCCCCACTGGGAGGCATGGCCAGCCTGGTGAGGGGCTGAGGGCCATTTTGGGGCAGTTTGCAGATGGGCCAAGCCCCCAGCTTTGTTGGGAAGGACGTCCGGAAGGTCTCTGGAAGGAAGGTCTCCTGGTCTAATTAGCATATTACCCTTTTATTAGTATAGATAGCTTATAGAAAAAACAAACACTGTGGATTTCTAAAGACAGCATTCCGTACCCAGAGGAGGCACCACACCATTTTTTCCCTGAAATTCCAGTGACAACATTACAGTCACACAGTGGCTCCAGCTCCCAGTGGTCTATGGTGCTCCCATGTACAATGACTCGAACCATGTCACTGAGATCCTAACAACAGTATTTTAGAGAGATATATAGTCAGACGTCTACACTTTTGAGTGTGAACAGAACAGATTCTACTTCTGACACCATTGTGATGATAATGTTCCATTTTCACTGAAGATGCAATGTCCCTTGTTATCCGGATTTACAACGTTAGAATCATACACCGGTCATTACCAATCTTCCCTCTAGAAATACTGGCCCCAATGTCAATACCTGTTCCACTGACCAAAGTATCAAAGGAGGAGTCTTCCATGTCCCAGCCAGGCTCCCGGTCCTGCTATTTCTATAATTTAGGGACTCCTAGTGACAGATCATTTCTGTCTACAAGGGTTCGCTCCATGGCCACGGCCACGCCCACTCCAGCCAGAATTCGCAGTGCACCATACACTGCCCAGGCCAAGCTCCCAGAGAACAGGAGTGGGAGTGGTTCTCAGCAGCGGAAACATAATCTTTGATGCTACAAATTTGGACCTAAATTGGTGGCCGCCTACCTTTCTGATGGGTATCTGGAAATTCCTTATACTATTTCCTCGACTTTTCTGTGTTTGTTAATTTTCAGTAGCAACAAAAGAAAGACAGAAAAAAAAATGATTGGAGGGGGATGGAGTAATATTTATTATTCAGAATAGAGGGACACCTTTCCCATTCAGCTTTTAAAGTGATGAGGATGGCCCAGTGGTTGAGCATCCAGCCAGGAACCATCCCCAGTCAGGACACATGCCCAATTTGTGGGCTTGATCCCCAGTAGGGTGCGGGCAGGAGGCAGCCAATAGATGATGTTTCTCTCTGATCGATGTTTCTAACTCTCCCTCTCCCATCCTCTCTAAAATTAATAAATAAATAATAAATAAATAAATACAGTGATGAGGACTGATCACTTTTAGATTATCCAAAATACAAATGACAATGCTCATGAAGAGTTCATAAAGTGACAGAATTTTAATAGTTACTATTTTCCGTCTATTTCTGTGAGATGAAAACCATATAAAGCTACTTGATCTAACAATCCTATTCTTAAGAAGAATAAGGGAAGGTTTCATAACATAGATGCCACCTTCCATGAACAGCTTTACCGTTTACTCAGATCCTCGCCGTTAATAGAGTCTGAGATGTCCAGAGCAGCCCAGGGGGCATGCAAACGAATTATTCCAAAACTTCTGTCAGAATTGTTTAGCCTTACTTCTTTAAGCATAGGTGGAGCTTGTGCCTATACTAATGGCCAAACACACTTTAACACACATCAGGATCCCCAGTGATATTTTCAGAAGCCAGGGGATGCCAGTCCAATGTGCAATTGGTCTTTCCTGGCCATGCAGGACATGCTATTTTTGTTTGTTTCTTTTGTACCTTGAGCTCAGTTGAAACCTCCATTTGTGAGTGACAGTTTTTCAGTGTCACTGTTCAAAATAATGATGGCTCAGGTGTCTCTGAAGTTATCAACTCCCCTTAAAAGATGGAGAAATGCAGAAGAAAAATCACCGTAACTTTCTCCCTCGGCTCAGACCTGTGGTTCCGCCTTCATTTGTCTCTGACATTGTAGGAAATGTTGCTAAGATACCAATAGAAAGGCAACGAGTGTATAAATAGCACATCAGACAGGTGACAACATTCCCCAATCTTTTCTCTCATGAGTTAACTTGTGAAAATCAGAAATAAATACTTTTAAAATTTGGTCCCCTTCTTAATTCTTCAGATCTCAAATTGTCCTACCTATAAAAATATTAACCCTTCATATCACTCTCAATTTCTTCTTCCATTTATATATTTCACTCTGGGATAATATTCCTTCTAAACCTATGAACAGCATTAGCATTTTGGTGTATATTTGAAAGTGACATTTTCTTAGGGTTGATGTGTGTGTGTCTTCCTACGAGAGGATACTTTTGCTGGGAATAGAATTCTCACTGGTATTGTTTTTCAGCTCTTTGAAAAGGCCATTCCACTGTCTCCTGGACTCCTTTATTTTGCTGCTGCTACTTCCACTTTCAGACTTAGTGTTGTCCTTTTGAAAATAATGCATGTTTGTATCAGGATGAATTGTCTTTCCTTTGGGTTCATTACTATGTGCTTATTTAAACTTCCCTTTATGTATGTATCCTCAGTGGGGCTTATACAATTTCCTGAGTAGGATGCTTGCTGTCATTTTCAGTTTATTTTTTTTTAATTATGGCAAATATTGCTTCCAGTATTGCTGATGCCTCGCTCTCTCTCCCACATCTCCACACCTGGGGGAACTGCCATTTCACCTGTGTCACATCCAGTCACCACGTCCCACTCGCCCCTTAGGGTCTATTCGTGCTCCATGTTGTGGTCTGGATATTATCTATTCACAATCCTCCCGTTTAGTTGCTGTGTCTAACCTTGCATTAAGTCACTCTATTTTCTTAATTTCACCTTTTGTATTTTGCAGTTCTGGAACTTCAAATTGATTTGTAATATATGGCATTTCTCTTCTACTCCTCCTCCTCCTTCTTTTCCTCCTCCTCCTCTTCTTTTTCCCACAATCCTCACCTGAGGATATTTTCCACTAATTTTCAGAGAGTGGAAGGGAGGGAGGAAGGGGAAAGAGAGAGAGAAGCATTGATGTGAGAGAGAGTGATTGATTGGTTTCCTTTCACACTCACCCAGGTGGAGGCTGAGCATAGAACCTACAACCCAGGTACATGCCCTTGACCAGGAATGGAACCTGAGAACCTTGGAAGCATGGACCAACACTCTAACCACTGAAAGGAACCAGCCAGGGTGCATTTCTCTTCTTAAATTCTTCATCATCTCATCTATTTTTTGACCATATTCATCACAATTGTTTTGAACCCCTTGTCTGATAACATCTATATTTCTATCAGCTGTTGCTGCTGTCGGATTTCTCTCTGGTTCCACCATTTATTCCTGCCCCAGCTACTCCTGGTAACATTTTATTGAAAGCCAGGCCCCATGGGTCGGAATGTAAACATCTTTCTTTTGTTACGTTTTCCAAGTAGATTGACTTTTTTGAAGGGGCAGCTGAAAAAAGAGCTGAATCCAGTCGGGCACTGATTTCAGTGGAGTCTGATAGGCAGTCATGGTGGGTCCCAGCCGGTTTTGTTCTATTTTTATTGCCAGGATGCAGCCTTTCAGGTGCCTCAGTTCACCGTTGAGTAGTCAGCAGGCCTCATTCTGCTGGCTTGTTCTGAGCCCCGATTTTTGTCTTCCTTGCACTGTGTGACAACCAACACTTCTGCTTAGGTGTTTTCTGTTTCTATTTGGTTGCTGTATTTCTGATTCATACAACTTAGAAACCAGCCGAATTGTGGATGAGCAAGCCCCTGGGAGCTTGGGCTCCCCCATCTGTGCTTTTCTCTTCTCCTGAGGGAGGTCCCACATGCTGCCAACACCTTGGTTATGCTCACGGTTCCTTCATTCTTTCTTTAATTTTTATTGATTCTAGAAACATGTTAGCAGCATTTATGGGTGATCACTGGTGTGAGGTTGTTGTGATCAAGCTGCTTCAACTGTCGGGACAGAAGTTTCCCCCTCATTAATGTCTAAGGACAGATTGTGTGTGGGGCTGGGAAAATCTAGGCCACGTATTAGTGGGGGGTTAGGCACAGCTGGCACGGATCATTGAAGCAGCTGCGGGAGGACGTGAGGGTTACGTGGGTCAGAGGCAGAGATTCATGTCTGGAACCTCCCTCAGCCCTGAGGGTGCTGGCTGCTGGTCCTTCACTCTCC